CTGCCAGCAACCCCAGGAACTGCCATGGTTTTTCTCATTTGTGCTAAGCAACAATGAAAATTCCATTACCTGCAATGTTTCTGCTTACCAGTCAAGCTGAACATTTTCTTTTTCCTTTTTTGGTACTGGGAATTGAACCCAAGGTCACTTAGCTACTGAACCACATCCCTACCTCTTTTTTTGGGGGGACAGAGTCTCAGTAAGTCCTTAGGCCCTCGCTAATTTTCCTGAGGTTGGTCCTGAATTTGTGATCCTCCTACCTCAGCCTCGGAGTCACTGGGATTACCACAGGCATGTACCCTGCACCCAGCTCAGGCTGAACATTTTCAAATGCTAGAACTGGCCACTTGCATTCTTCTTTTGCAGGCTCATTTTTTTTTTTTTTAATATTTACTTTTTAGTTGTAGTTGGACACAATACCTTTATTTTATTTATTTATTTTTATGTGGTGCTGAGGATCAAACTCAGGGCCTCACACAAGCCAGGCAAGGGCTCTACCACTGAGCCAAAACCCCAGCCCTCATTTTCTTTTTCTACCTGTTTTTCTAGAGTGAAAGTTTAAAAAGTTTGACTTTTAAAGATTAGCTTTTAATAAGAGTTCTTTTTTTGTTGTTGTTTTAGAAATACAACATTAATTCTCTATAATGTAATTATACTGAAAAATACTTTTTTGTTTGTCTTTGTTTTGAGGGTTTTATTTACTTATTTCTTTTTTTGAGGAGTAAAGCCCTCCCTAAGTTCCATGCTTAATAAAGTACTTGCCTCTCAAGATTATCAAAGGATATTTTCTCTTAGCATTTTTGTGACTCAAAATTTAATACTACAAGGTCTAATCTTTGGTAGGACAGATTTAGGTATCAGTAGTGAGACAGGGATCTTCTTTGTTTTGCCCCAAACATCCAATGGGCAGGCTCAGCACTTTTTCTTGAATAATCAATTTTTTCTAGTTTAAGTGTCCTTTGTCCCAAGCCATCCTTTGGTAGGAATGTGGATTCATTTTTGGACTCCAGGCTTTCCCAAATATTTGCTGCTACTGTGCCAATGCCACACTGTCACTGTGGCCTCACTTTTAATGACTTACAGGGCACGCTCATTTATTTATTTTTTAGTTGTCAGTGGACCTTTATTTGTTTATTTATATGTGGTGCTGAGGATGCAACCCAGAGTCTCACCCATGCCAGGCAAGTGTTCTACCACTGAGACACAACCCCAGCCCTCCACATCCTATTTATTATTCCCTTTTAGAAAGAACCTATTTCCTTTCACTTATTCTTCACTTATTAAATAGCTAAATTTTTAAAAAATCTCTCCAGCCTACAAGGAAAAAAAAAAAAATTCACTGATTTTCTGACAGATTGCATTGAATATTCAGTGTGATTTTAGAAAAACTCACATCTAACAATTAAATATGGCTCTCCATTTATTTAATTTTTTWAAAAATGTTCTTAGTTATACTCCATTTAATTTTTTTATTTCAAAATTTTAGTGTTTTTTATTGTCAATTTACATAATGCCTGTTTAAATTAATTCTACTTTTTTTCTTTTATTTTAAATGGGTCTTATTCCTACTATTTTCCAATTTAGGTAGTCATATATAAACATACTATTAACTTTTTTTTTTTAATATTTATTTTTTAGTTTTTCGGCGGACACAACATCTTTGTTTGTATGTGGTGCTGAGGATTGAACCTGGGCCACACACATGCCAGGAGAGCRCGCTACAGCTTGAGCCACATCCCCAGCCCCATATTATTAACTTTTTAAATCTTACCAATATCCTTGATTTCATCTCCTGATTATCTATAAAGAGATAAAAACATTACAACTTAATTGAATAACAAAGTAGCTTATCAAACATGTATGGTTATGACTGCTGTTAAATGAATAACAACATAACTTATTAAGCATATGAAACATATGGTTTTCCAACTAAGTTTAAACATTCCCCCAAATAGACAATGGTAAAATAAGCACTATTACAGTTCCATAAAAAAGTGCTCTTACCTTTAACTTCCTTGTTCATTCTGTGAATGTCTTAATTTCTTAATATTAAGGAAAACAAAAATTATTTTATTTCATAAATACTTATAATAAATAAAAAAAAACCTTAAATATTAGTTAAATAAACTCAGCAACCAGCTAGATGAAAAAAAAGAAATGGTGATAAGACACACAAGAGTGATCAGGCTTTTTGATTACTACCTTTGTAATCATTCTTTGTTTCAAATGATTAAAACTACTAACATCTGCCGGCGGTGGCACACACCTATAATCCCAGTGGCTCAAGAGGCTGAGGCAGGAGTTTTGCAAGTTCAAAGCCAGCCTCAGCAACTTAGCAACATCTTGTCTCAAAATAAAATATTTTAAAAAGGCTGGGAATGTGGACTCAGTGTTTAGGTGCCCCTGGTTCAATCCCTGCTACCAAAGGAAAAAAAAAATTACATCTGATTGTCCTAATTTAATAAAAAAATTGGGGGGTTTTAGTTGGACACAAGCGWTCTGCCAGAGTCACAGCCCAGCCTGACTGTCCTATTATTATCCAATGCATCCTAGATCTGAATACTGCAATATACAAATCAATAAACCAATCAAATGAGATAAGATTTTAAAACCATACAAAGATGATCAGGCAACCTGAGTCAAAGTCTAGAACACAGGAATCATCTGGTACTGTCCTAAAAAATAAAAGCAAAAGGACTGGGGCACAGCTCAGGGGCACAGCATTTTCCTAGCATAAATGAAGTTCTGAGTTCAATCCCTAGTACTGCAAAATAATAACAATACAATTGCTTAACACAGACAGTGCTGGGCCTTCCGATAAGTGCACTAGCCTGTGGGAAGGGGCAGCTCACTAAGCTCACAGGTCAGTAAACAGCTTCTAAAGTTAAACACTGTTTCCAACTCAAGACCGAAAATTTTTAAAAATGCCACCTTATCAAAATTAGAAACAAGAAAGCATCTGAARAAGCGTTTGTTGCAGGCATAAGGACATTCGGGAGGAACTGGAGTTCATTCTTCCCTCATTTTAAAGTTTTATAGGTGATCTCAAAGCCAAGAYAAACTATATACCTTAAATTATCATACTGACCACTTCAGAACCCTCAGGCTTTAGAGACACCCAAGGTCTAAGAAATGCCGGGAGGTTAAACACACTCATCACAGAAGACTGTTTCCAAGCAAGTCAAACACCAGGATACAGCAGAGGGCTTTGGCCAGGGATCCCGCCAGCAGAGTTTCTGTATGTTGACCCTTGATGTCACCTACAAATAATAAAAAGCATTAAAGACGGAATATTTAAGTACTTTCTTCAACTAAAGCCATTTTCAAACTGAAGTGTTCGTGAGTGAAAAAAAATGATCATATTTTCAGGTTGGGTTTAAAAACAGCAACTTGTTCCCAGTTATACTTAAAAAAACAACTTTGAAACCTTTTCTCAACTTAAAATATCCAGGTGCTTGGTTCAGGCTGAAATAAGGGTGGGGCTCCAGTCTGGGATGGTAAGAAAGTTCTAGAGATGGGTGGTGTGAAGACTGCTCAGCCGCGGCACAGTAACATAATGAGCTATACACTTAAAAACTGTTAAAATGGTAAATTTTAAATTAAAAATTCTAAAAATCAGTAAATAGTAAATTTCATCTAGATTTTACTGTAATGAAAAGCTTTCAAAAAATGTTTAATTATGGGGCTGTGGCTGGGGCTCTAGTGGTTGAGTGCTCGCCTAGCTCGTGCAGGGACCTGGGTTCGATCCTCAGTACCACATATAAACAAAGTTATTGTGTGCAACTACAACTAAAAAAATAAATAAATATCTTTTTAAAAAATTTAATTATGAAGGCTGGGGTGTGGCTCAATGGAAGAGTACTTGTCTAGCAAATATGCCCTGGGTTTGATCCCCGGCACTGAAGGAAAAAAAAAAAAAAGGTGAATTTTGTGATCCTGTTGTTATCTTGAAAGGTTCAAGATTAACCATCTAAGCCAGCACAATGGCACATACCTGTAATCCCAGCAGCTCATGAGACTGAGACAGGAGGATCATGAGTTCAAAGCCAGACTCAGCAACTTGGTGAGACCCTGTCTCTAAATTAAATAAAATTTAAAAGGGCTTGGGATGTGGCTCAAAGGTTAGGTGCTCTTGTGTTCAATCCCTGATACCAAAAAGTAAATAAATAAATAACCATCTACATTGCACGAAATGTCACATATGGGGATAAGGATGTGGATCAGTGGTGAGCACTTGCCTAGCATACATGAGGTCCTGGGTTCCAGCCTCAGYATCAGAAATAAAATTAAAATTTTAAAATGTCATGTATAACTATAGACAGCCTGGACAGGAACRGGGTTGAGGCTCCCTGCCACCTTTTCCCACTTCTTCCACTGTCCACTGAGGCTAGTCAGTAGAGAGCAGAGAACCCCTTTCCTCTCCTTATGAGAAACAGAGGCAGTCTACTATTTGTTTGATGCCATGGGTAAAAACAGAGAGTTTTCTATTTGTTTTGTGGTAATAGGAATGAACCCAAGAGTGATTTATATCTCCAAATCCTTCTATTTTTTATATTGAGACAGAGTCTCACTAAGGTGCTATGGCTGGCCTTAAAACTTCTCTAGCCTTAGCCTCCCAAATCCCTGGGTTTACAGGTGTGTGCCACCACATATGGCCGGAAAAGGTCACTCTTAAGAAATCAAAATCCAAAACCTGCAACTCAAGAGGGTGAGGAGCCCAGAATTACACTGTGTAAAGGGGACTGTAGCTGGTCCAGGAGATGCTGGAGATCAAACCTAGAGCCTCAAGCATGCTAGGCAAGCACTCTTCTCTCTACCTATGACTCCAGGCCAAGGACCCAGGAAAGGTGGTAAAGATTAAACAAAAAAGTTGACCCTATCCTGGAGGCCAGTGATTCTCAAAGCAAGATTCTGGAACCCGCTATAGGAACACTGCCTGGGAACTCAGAAATTCAAATTCTTGGGTTCTCCCCCTGTACTCTGCTTTAATAAGCCTTCAACTGATTTTTTTTTTTTTTTTGCAGAGAGACTACTGGGTATTGAACCCAGGGGCATTTAACCACTGAGCCACATCTCCAGCCCTTTTTTATTTTAAGATAGGGTCTCACCAAGTTGCTTAGGGCCTCCCTAAATTACKGAGGCTATCTTTGATCCCATGAACTTCCTGGCTCAGCCTCCCAAGCCATCGGGATTACATGCGTGCACTGCTGAGCCCAGCTCCTCCAAATGATTCTTAATAGCTTTATTGAGGTATGATTTATAGACCACAAAACTCAGTCCTACTCAATTATTCCTACAAAGTTTACAGCTGTGCAGCCATCGCCACAATCCAATCTCCACACAGCTTCCATCACCTGAGATCCCAGAGCCATCAGTGGTCACCCCTTGTCCTTCCAGCCCTGGGCAGAAACTTCTGTGTCTGAAGCCCCCTTTTCTGTCCATGTGGCTCTGACACACACTAAGGTCTGACAAAGCCACAACTACAGACAACAGGCAACCTGTAAAGGCCTATGAGGCTGCTGAGATGGGTGTGAGGAGAAGGGAGGGGTCAACAATGAAACTTTGCATCTGGAGACACAGGTGGATTTGGGGACCAACAGGAGGTGGCAACGGTGGTGTCCTTGAGGGCAAGGATAATGGAATCTGGGCAATGTGAAGGAGATTGGGGGGCACTGAAATGGAGACCAGGAAGTTTGAAAGAAAGTCTAGGCTTGAGACAAAGACTGGCACACGTTCMTGTATAAATGACAATAAAAGGCAAAGGTGGATGAGAACGGTCAGAGGAAAAAAGGAAAGGAATAAAACCACGTGCAAAACACATGCACACACACAAGCAGATATGTGCGGGAACAAGATGAAGGAAAAGCTAGAAACGGAGACTAGGAAAGAATGGTCCATAAAAGAGGAAAACCAGGTCAACAGAACATCCCCTGAAATAGGCTGCTCAGAGTTGCAAGAAGCAGCAGCAGCTGGTCAGMGGTGTCGAGGCTGTAGAGCCAAATACTGCGCAGACTGGGTGAGAGATTCCCAGAAAGAAAAGGAAGAGGGAGAGTGTGCAAGCAGACCACACAGGAGCCTCAAATCTTTGCTGTGAAGGCCTAAAGGGCCTCCCAAATCAAGTCCATTACCAAAATAATAGCCATGAAAATAAAAACTGTTACTTTTGGTCATCAGATCCTTAATTTCTTCARCGATAACTTCATTTGCTGCTGTTAAGAGCTCATATTTTCCATCTTTACTGCCCGAAGGATTCAATTCAGAAGGAAAGTTGCTAGAGTCTCCGAAGAAGTCTCCAAGTCGCCCATTCTTCCCAGGATACAGAAACCGACTGAAATAGCGGAGAAAAGAACTCTAGTTACGGCAACAAGATTCACTGCCCTCCTCTCACTCATGATCAGAATGAAATTCAGAAAAAACAAAATCATACCAATTCTGGACTCACAAGATTCTATCTACTGTAATAATTTCATTTTTAAAAAAATACATAAAACAGGCACATTGGTAAATATTTCACTTGTCACCACGGAATATTTGACTGGTTCCATTGCTTCTGGAAAAATGTGAGGAGATAAAGGCTGAGCGCATACTCAGTGGCAGAGCACTTGCCACTGAGGCCGTGGGCTAGGCCCCAGCACCACAACAGAAAAATGACATGAGGGTACTGGGCCACAGACCCCTGAGACACCTCAGATGACAATCAGAAGATGTCACATCAAATTCTAACTCACTGCTAAGTTATTATTTGAGCTCTACACTATCTACCCCAGTAATAAAGATTTAGTCCCTGGGTTCCTGAAAAAGATTCTCCGGCACCTATAACTCTTAGAATAAACATGCAGAGGATACATTTGATTTCATTTTTGAAAACTAAAAATGCTGCCAGTTATACCATTTACTGGTATCTTAACAAAAACAACATCATATTTCTTATCCAATTCTGAGAAAAATACACAGCAAGGATGGGAACCGAAGTCTGTACTTGGTGCCCTGGACTCTTGTTCCACCAAAGGAAGTATAACTCTTAACAATTAAGGTAATTAGAAAAGTATCCAAGGACCTCTAAGAGTCACTACCATCGTGATGTGACAGTTAAGATAGAGAAGAGCTGGAGCTTATAATGGGAACCTGATCATACAGTCAGTACATAATGTGCCAAGTAAACATGGTCAGCAGCACTCATGAAAAATACATAGAAAAATCTACACGTATCTACACTCTCATGCACCATCTGGTAGTGAGTCTAACAACCCGTTTTGTTCTGTTTTTGTTTGGGGATTAAACCCAGGGGTACTTAACCACTGAGCCATATCCCCTGTCTTTTTTTTATTTTGAGACGGGGTCTCAATAAGTTGCTTAGGGCCTCACTATGTTGCTGAGGCTGGTCTCAAACATGCAATCCTTCTGCCTCAGTTTCTGGATTTTCCAGGATTACAAGTATGTGTCACAGCACCCGGTCAGAACCAACGTTGCTGCTGCTCATGGTCACACCAGGAGAGGCAGGSAGAGCTGTCCTGGCTGAAAGGAGCATGACCACACATGCAGTGGAATCTGCCTTTTGGGGAAGAGCGATAAGGAAGGAGCTGGGAGTTGCCAGCCTGGTTGTTTGTTATTCTTCCTAGACAATATAGTTGATTTGTGTAAATGAAATGTGTCACTGTGCAAGTCAACTTTTTATCAGTGTTCTTACATATTGAAATGCACGTGCACTACTGTTCACCACAACCAGAAAATTTTATTTTATAATATAGACTAGAAACAGCACATCCCAACTGGCACAAAAACCTCAAAAATGTCAAGCAATGAACACAGAGTGGTCCTAAGAGTTACGCATACCTTTCTTGAATGTGACTTGCTATCACAGCAAGCTTGTTGGAACGATTCATGAATAAATGGGAGTTTCCTAGCACCATCACGGCGTCCATGCATCTAGATAAAGTGAACTGTGGAACAAACAGGAGACATGGGGACAACAGGCTCACTCTCCAATAACTCAGATTACAGAATGACTCTAAAGATACAGCAGCATAAGAGGCAGCACAGGGAGCTCCTACGTGGTGGCAGAACAGTTCCATTTCTTCATTGTGGTGTGGTTAAACAAACCCATTCAAAGGATAAAACTGCACAACAGTACAAAAACACACCAACAYCCATAATGAGTGCACAAGAACCAGCCTTCTAAGTAAGGTCTGAGTGCCCTGGTTTTGATACTATGCCACAGTTGTGTAAGATGTCACAACTGGGGGAATCAGGAATGAGCCACGGGACTACTCTCCACCATGTTTAAAGTCTCCCGTCAGCCTATGATAACGTTTTCTTTTCTTTTCTTTTTTTTTTTTTTTGGTAGTGCTAGACATTGAACCCAGGACCTTGTGCATGAGAGGCAAGCACTCTGCCAACTGTGCTTTCTCTCCAGCCCAGACTATGATAATTTTTTAAACGACTACTTACTATATAAGTCAATTTATTAAATGTTCAGAAAAGGCAATATAGACACAAAAGGCAAATCTGACAAAAAACTTGTATCTAGAGTTTATAAAGAGATCTCAAAACACAAGCCACCTGCAGCTTGGGACGGAGGCAGAAATTGACTATAAACAGGCCTGAGAGAACTTCAGGTGACAAAAGAAATGTTCTAAAATGGGATTGTGGTGCTCATTACACAACTTCACTAACTTACTAAAAAGTCACAGAAGTGTTATGTTATAATTTATGTAAATTATACCTCAGTAAAGCCAGTTTTTTTTTTTAAGTTACAGTTGGACACAATACCTTTATTTTATTTATTTATTTTTATGTGGTTCTGAGGATCAAACCCAGGGCCTCACAAGTGCTAAGCAAGCCCTCTACCTCTGAGCCACAAYCCCAGCCCCAAGCCAGGTTTTTTTAAAGTGATATAAACATATACAAATTAAAACAGAAATATCCAAAGGCCTCCTCCAGCCATCTTACCTGAGATTCCTTTAATGCTTGCTTTCCCCACCAAATTGGGTTGGCATCAACTATGATAACCAGAAGATTCAATTCATCTTCTGAAAACATTAACAAGAAATGAAATTTAAAAACATTTGCTGCATAAAAATGAATCAAAGCTGACATTCCCAATGTGTACAATAAATCCACTACATGCCTCTAAATGTTTATCTTCTTATTTTTTAAAAAAAAWTTTTGTATAGTTATAGATGGACAGCATGCCTTTATTTTATTTATTTATGTGGTACTGAGGATGGAACCCAATGCCTCACACATGCTAGTCAAGTGCTCTGCCACTGAGCTACAACCCCAGCCCCATATTTATCCTCTTATAAGATTAACAGAAAGCCACGTTGTTTTAAAGGTTTAAGCTCAGACGGCCCTTGCCTGCTCCCTACTCTGCTGCATGCTCTAGAATACCATGAGCCATATTTCATCAAACCTCAGGCAATATGGATTATGAAATATGCACACACACACCCCTTTTGGGCTGGGGATCAAACCCAGGGCACTTTACCCCTGAGCTACATCCCCAGTCCTTTTAGCTTTTTGAGACAGGATCTAAGTTGCTTAGGACTTCACTTAAATTGCTGAGGCTGGCCTTGAACTTGCCATCCTTCTGCCTTAGCTTCCCAAGTTGCTGGGATTACAGCATGCTCCAGCACGCCTGGCAAAATGTGCCCTTATTTAAGGAACCACTAAGAAAGAAAAAAAAAAAAATGCTGCCATCTTCATTGTAGGACACCATATGGCTTTCAGCAAAGGCAGGGATTTCTGTCTGGTTCACAACTTATCCTCAGCTCCTAGCACACAACAAGTGATCAGTAACTATCTACTCAATGAACCTAAAGTTATTCACACTTTAAATGYCTGATTAGGGACAGAAAATCTTGAATAACCAGTAGTACAATCACCAGTGAGAGAACCACAGGCACAGAGGTGAAGGGGAAGCCCAGAGTCACCTTGGCTCAACAATCATCCAGTCACCTCGCAGCAAACCAACTGAACATGGAACCAATTTTTAAAAAGTAAAAACCAAAAGGGGAAGATCAATTTCTGTGTAAAGAATTTACTATGAAAAGGAATCATTCCACTTTCCAATTGTGAAAGACAAGACACAATTAAACAGGCTACCGTAACGTAGTACTCACTCAACATTTACAGTAAGCACCAGTACTGGCTGTTGGGGTCTTGAGTCCATGTCCACAGAGCTAGACTTTTAACTGAGGTGGCAGACAGGTGAACACCTGAGTGCACTGGAATGAGAAGCCAAGGGTGCTCCTGTGATATGCAGAGCAGTGACGCCCTTCCTACCTCTGCACCCTCCTTCCTGTGATTCCCTCTCCTATATCAGGATAATCCTCTCCCATTTTTGTTTCTGCATATCCAAAATCCTAGTTACTTTTCAAAGTCTCAAACCAGCCAGGCATGGTGGCACATGCCTGTAATCCCAGCATCTCGGAGGCTGAGACAGGAGGATCACAGTTCAAAGTCAGCCTCAGCAAAAAGCAAGGCACTACACAACTCAGTGAGACTCTGTCTCTAAATAAAATACAAAAAMCAGACTGGGGATGTGGCTCAGTGGTCAAGTGCCCCTGAATTCAATTCCGGGCACCCCCCGCCAAAAAAGTCCCAAACCAGTGTAACCTTTCTTCCAGAGGTGATGGCCCTCCCATCTTGGGGGCTGGGAGGTTCCAGCCTGCTCCACACTAGGCACTGGCATCTATGATCCCACAACCCCATTCCATCCTGACTGCAACCCAGCAAGGGACATAGTACTGCTGTCTTTCATCAGTTATAATATGAACCCCCTCCTTTTAAAAACCTAGATAGTATCCTACAATTAAGATTGGCAGCATTTTTTTTCCTGAGTGATATTGCACATTTCGTAATGCATATTATCTTAGTTTTGATAAATATGGTATATAGTATCCCTATTTTGCAAATGAATGTAACTTGTTCTAAGTCACACGGACTCTTAGCAAGTGGAAAAACCAATTTGTTGACTCTAAAGACTGACACTTCAGGGCTGGGGATGTGGCTCAAGMGGTAGCGCTCGCCTGGCGTGCGTGTGGCCTGGGTTTGATTCTCAGCACCACATGCAAAGATGCTGTGTCCGCCGAAAACTGAAAAATAAATATTAAAAAAAAAAAAAAGACTGACACTTCAGGGGCTGGGGCTCAGCAGTAGAGCGCTCGCCTGGTAAGGCACTGGGTTCGATCCTCAGCACCACATAAAAATAAATAAATAAAATAAAGGTATTGTGTCCAACTACAACTAAAAAATAAATATTCTTTAAAAAAACATTATTAAAAAAAAAAAAGACTGACACTTCATGGCCCACTGTCTTCCCTCTGCCTACCACCAACACCACTAWCTAACTCTCTTCTAGTGACATTTGACACCAACTGTGTTTCTGATTTCTCTTCCTAATACTGCCTGCTGGACTAGACACCTTAAGGAATAATGATTTTTTTTCTTTTGCTATCCCAGGTTGAGATAATCCCTGTAAATCACATAATGAAGCACCAAGCCCTGAAGCTAACTGTGCCTGCTGCAGACCCCTCCATACCCCACAGCCTGTAAGCCTTTGTCTTAATTCGCCCTCAGGCCCCAACATAAAATCCTCAGGCTTTTCAGTCCTTGCTACTGCCTAAAATTTTRAGAAAGAGGAAAAAAAATGTGGTCTGTCAGAAGTATGGCTCTACACACTGCAATGTCCTGTAAATTTCCTTCTGTTTCTCTACCTTACTTGCAAACCAGAAATGCCAGGCCTGTATCCTTCACAGGGTTGTGAGGCCAGTGAAAACGGATAAAGGGAGTATGATCCATTGTCCTCACCTCTCAGTGGACCTCCCAAAGTYTAGTGTTGCCCCTCACAATTCACCTTCCACACAGCAGCCAAGTGATCTTTTAAAATTGGAAATCAAATCAAAAGTCTTTGCTTAAAACCSTGAAACGGCTTCGTAAAATAAAGCCCACAAGACCCTTCATGATTTGCATGACCAAAATCCAGCTCATTCTCAAGCTCATTCATTTCACTCCTATTTCTTCAAGACATCATGGCCCTATAATTGGTAGTTTAATGTATGGATGAAAGTCTCTCCACCTTCCTCTACCAAGCTCCCTGTTTCTCTCTTCTCAGTGTAAACTGGTAATTCGACCAACCACAGGGACTTTGCATTTGAAATGTACTTCCCGCAGAATTTCACAGTCATTCGAGTTCCACTATGTCGCTTTTTTCTGGACTCCCAATGAAGTAGCTCCTCCTTGATCATAGTCCCCACAACGTCCTTTTATATTTCCTTTTACATTGTCTCACAACTCTTGTTACCCTTTGGGATTTTATTTACTAGCCGAATACCCCTCTTGCTCACAGTGACCTCCTCAAGCATCCCCGTCCTCCACGTTTTCTACCCTTAGTGCCCAGCGCAGAAAATACTGCCTGGCGCACAAGCGATCCAAAAGTAGCTCCTGAATGAATGGAAGGACACACGGGCTCCTCCGCTAAAACTCAGAGGGGTTCCATCCTGCCCAAAGACGCACTCTGCTTGGCAGGTCCGGGCCAGGCCCACTCCGCCCAGCCCCGGGTCGGGTCCCTCCCTGCGCGGCCCTCACCGTCAGACACCATTGCGACCCCGTCCCTCTGCGCAGAGAACTAGCGGTCGAGCGAGCGCTCTGGAGCCAGCGAACCCTAACTTCCGGCGCCGCCGAGTGACGCACGCGTGGAGGGGCCCGGGCGCGCGCGGCACTCACGGCCCCGCCCCCGAAGCGCCGGAAGTGGCGTCTGGGGTGCGCCGCGCGCTGTCAGCTTGTGGCTYGGCCGGCTCAGTCGCGGGACTCGCTAGCAGCGAGCGACTCTGGGGCCCCAGCTCTCCGCGGTCCGGAGGCACCATGGACGACAGGGGTGAGTCGGGATGGGCTGGGGGGACRAGCCGCACAGAGGACCCCACCAACCTCCCAGCCAGACTGGGCTCGGGAGAGTCGCTGTCCACTCTCCGGCCGCTCYGCTGGACTTTCCTATAATCACAATTAAATCCCCCTCGCTGCTCCCGAGTCAGGGAATGGGCCTGAGAGCGTCCCCAGACGCCCCTCCACACAGCCCCGTTCCCTTGCCTCCGAAAAAAAATGAGACCCGGACCTCGTAAAGTAGGAAGGCTTCCTGCCACAAGGATAAGGCATCTTTGGTCTGCTCATCCTGTACGGTTATCAAGGTGTCTTATTAAGTGACAAACGAGGGCGAACTAATACAATGCTTAACATGTAAAAAAAATAAAGCGAAGTGGATTGAACTCTCCATATACATGTGTGTATGTGAGTAAACTTGAATTAGCACAGACTCTGGGGGGAGAGCAGGGGAAATTGGAAAGGTAGATGACTCTGTGATCCTCTCAACACTTAGGAAAGAGTAGGAAGGAGAATGACTTTTCATTACCTTAACAGTAGGGCTTAAAATTTATGCCTTGCATACAGATAACTATCTTAAAATAAGAGATCTTGTAACAGTAAAGTGGTGTCCTCTCTATGCCTATCAGCATTTATCATGTCCCTAAAACTAAACACTCCCAAAAGAAAGTATTTTTAAAATGACTTTGCTTAAGGTCAACAAGCATAAACAAGCTCTCCAGCCTTACATCCTGATAAATGAATCTGATTAGTCACTTTTTTCTCCCTTCTCAGAATTAATTGAATACTTCAAATCTCAGATGAAAGAAGATCCTGACATGGCYTCAGCAGTGGCTGCCATCCGGACTTTGCTGGAGTTCCTGAAGAGAGATAAAGGTAAAGAGTGTCATTCTTGAACACTCTGGGTCTTAGGAAAGTCTTCTGATGACTATTAGAAATGTAGAAAATGAGACATGTATATTTGTCTATAGCCTTAAGCCAACTTCTTTATTTCAGGCCTTTTAACCTGGAGCTAGCCCTCAAGTTGTCATCAGAAAGGATCCTTTCCATAAATGAAATGTGCTTTGAATCAAAAATGACCATTTTTTTCTCATATTAACCATGCTTAAATTACAGCAGTAATTCAATTTTATACATGTTTATTGAGCTTCGGCTTTGCCCTGAGTTCTCTGCAGATGCTACAGAGAACATTTCAGAATAAATTCTGTTATTAAATATCATTCAYTGTGATCTATTAATTCACCGTTCTAAATGTAAGTGTCTTAGTATGGTATAACAAAGTGGTGGTAGTAATGATGATGCGGCCACCTTCTGTAAACTGAAGGGCTGGCCTACAGATGTGTTTCTACAACGRCCTCCACTGGCTTTGCATCATACCTACAACAACATTCAAATCTTCACCTCTACTTAATTATGTTCCATGTTGTCCGCCCCTAAACTATGCTACAGCCCTGCTAGCTTCTCATTGTTTTTCATGCCAATTTTATTCCCATATTGGGGCCTTTGCATTGTTATGGTCTATGCCTGGAACTTTCTTCACTGGGTCTTTATGTGGCTGTATCCTTTTTTATTCAGGTCTCAGTTTAAAATGGTCCCCATTCCAAGAGGCCATCTCTTTCCAGTAGGCACCTTGTTCATCCTTCTGTTCTTTTCTGTCTTTACTACATTCTATAATTCATTTATTTGCTTGTTTATTGTTTGCATCCTCCACTAGGAAGCAGAGCCCTGTCTTTTTCACTGATGTATCCATGTCATCTAGAGCAGAGTCTGGTATACAGATGAAACCAGTAAATATTCACTATATGGATGAATCACACACTAGCAAGGGATTGTGAACATCAAATTTCTCCTTTGATCATTCCAGGGGAGACAATCCAGGGCCTGAGAGCAAATCTCACCAGCGCCATAGAAACCCTGTGTGGCGTGGACTCCTCTGTGGCAGTGTCCTCTGGTGGGGAGCTCTTCCTTCGTTTCATCAGCCTTACCTCCCTGGAGTACTCGGTAAGCCATTGACCGCCATCTCTGATTGACCGCAGATATTCTCAGCTTTACCCGGATCTTCTTTCCTCATTTTGCTCTTCTCTTCCTAGGATTACTCTAAATGTAAAAAGATCATGATTGAGCGAGGAGAGCTTTTTCTCAGGAGAATATCCCTGTCRAGAAATAAAATTGCTGATCTATGCCATACTTTCATCAAAGATGGGGCGGTGAGTAGATATCTATCACATGTGGTAACAGAGCAAGGACTTTGGAATCAGGCGATTAGGGCTAAAATCCCATCTCTCACTTATTTAATGAGTAACCTTGGGCAAGTTCTTCAGTCTTCTCATCTGTTCATAAGAACAACAATAAAGCCTTCCTCATGGGATCACTGTGAGGACTAAATGAAATGTTATATATAGGGGCTCAGCGCTCTGCCTGGCACACAGTGCTGTATAAATATTTATATATAATATATAAATATTATATATATTTATATATTTTATATATTATATATATATTATAAACRGTGCTGTATAAATTATTATATATAACAATATATAAATATTATTATAAATGCTTGTTGGTGTGAACAGGCAGAGGAAGACATTGGCATAGCATTGGTGGTTCTTAATTTAACAAGAAGTTCTTCTAAAGAAGTATTTTCATGATTGGATATATAGTTGGTTGAATCCACACAGACCAGCTCTTGTCACGGTTAACATGAAGCATCTTCCTGGTGAAGGTTAGCACTGGGTGGAGATTTTAATCTTGTTTCAGATGCTGTGGCAGTAATGCAAGGCTGCCAGATGCGCATCAGTCAAGTGAGGAGAGACAGGAACTGCTCGTTGGGCCAGTCTCTCAACACAGGGGTCATACTCATAAAACTTTATGATGTCTCTCCCACYAGCATACATCTTACATCCTATTTGCCACCTAAGCCTCCACTGACCATAAAAGATTTTTACTTGCATTTCAACTCTTAAATCTTGTCCTCTTTTTTTATTATCCCTTTCCAAACCTTAGAAGTTATTAAATAAATTACATAGTAGGTGTGAGTGAAACCCTACAAAAGCCAATTCACGAGCAAAGCCTTTTTGGGCCAAGTGGAGGCAGGGTTGTGCCACCTCTTGCCGAAGCCTTCTCCAGCCCTGCCCTAGACTTGCCATGCTTGTCAGTATTCTGCAGGCATCTTCTGCCTGCACCACCCTTCTCTGCACTGATTTAGACTACATTTAGAACAGGGCTGCTCACATTTGAACATGCAGATGAGTCACCAAAGGTTCTTATTAAATGCAGAGGCAGCAGGTCCAGGTAGGGCCTGAGAATCTGCATTTTTAATGTGTCAAATAGGACTGACAGGAGCTAGAGAGCCATGTCTGCCGTCCTGTTTTACATGATCCTTCATGTTCTCCCTTGGAACAGGGGCCACATGTAAATGTCGACAAATATCATCTGCACCACAGACAGCTTATTTTTATCCCACACAGTATTCATAAAATTTTCAAATTATTAGCTAACACTTAATTATTAGATTTTCAGCTTCTCTGGAAAAATCAGATGTTTTGGCAATAGTGGAACCACATGACAACAGTAAGAGCTAAGGAACCTGGGTCCCCTTAGTCTTTCCACAGCCAGTGGTGCCACCTCGCCCACTACATTGACTGATGTGATCTGCCTGGTACCTGTCTACCCAAGTGTGCAAACTATGTCTTAGAGCTAGGGAGACCAACCCAGGGAACMCCATGGGCTCTCAGACCCTGTGTGGGGGCTCCATTAGGGAAACCCACACTACATTGCTCTAGCAGGAACTTTTTCAGCTTGTAGGGGGATTGAAACTCAGTGTACTCTCAAGGTCTCTTCTGATGACGGTTGACTTGTGAGGAAAGCCTACAGAGGAGCTTGGAGCGCCAGGACATAGTGCACACATCACAGTGCACATGGTGTGGGCAGTCGCCAGGGAGCTTGCCGCTTCATGAAACCTTCTCTATCCACAGAGAATATTGACTCACGCCTACTCCAGAGTGGTCCTGAGAGTGCTTGAAGCAGCTGTGGCAGCCAARAAGCGCTTTAGCGTGTACATTACAGAGTCGCAGCCTGATCTGGCGGGGCAAGTATCTTCCCATTTGGTCACAGGTTGATCAGTCATTATGGAGCATACCAAGGACTGGAATCCATCATAGTAGGAACCAGAACATGCCCCCATTGGCCAGGCAGGCGACATGGCCTTCGAACTTGTCATTCCTGCTCCTGGAAAAACAATCATGTTGGATTTGCAGCAGGGCAGAGTACAGGCTCCAGGTTTCTATTTAAGTAGTCAAATCGGAGGAACACCAAGACTGTGTTGCTGATAAGTTTTTATTAAGGAGTAGGTACTTCTTCTTTTCAGAAGATAATAAAAGCAAAACTTTTTGTAAGAATTTCCATCTTTTCCCCAGAATACCTGAGTATATTTTTCCTGAAWTACATGCTTTTTCTTAGAAAAAACAAATTCTTGTTTCCTTAATCCAAGTCTTGGGACCTGCCCCTTAGTCCATAAGTAATAACTGAGCTTCAAGCTAGCATGATTTATCACTGTCTTAACTGACTCATCAAACATCACCATGGGACTTTCTTGGACTTTCCCTAATTTTCTCAAAATGTCATCTTTAGTAAGAAAATGGCCAAAGCGCTCTCTCACCTCAACGTCCCAGTCACCGTGGTGCTGGATGCTGCTGTTGGGTAAGTGCCCGTCTTCTTTGGCCTACTCTCAGGGTTGACTCTAAGCAGTGCTTTCAGATTGAAGGTTTGATTCCCATTCCTAAAGCTACACAACGTCTTAATAGCTGCTCTAAACAAGCAAGCCCATTATAAGGTCTCCGTAGCATATGCAGGAAGTAGGACTGTGGAATGTTGGTTAGTGAGGGTTGTGTGCCTAGCACTGTGAGTAGGAGTGTCTGTGCATTTCAAGAGTGACATATAAAGGTTGAATTTGATCAGCATCTTGGGTAATCAGTTCTCTTTAGCCCTAACATAGCTGTCCTTGGTGCTGTGCTGGGTGCTGCTTCTCATGCAGGTGTTTCTCTCCTCAAACCAAAATCCCATTTTGCTGGACTCATCAGTGCATTTCATAAGAAAAAACAGGAGTAATAATCTCTTAGGAAACATACACTCAGTCAGATGATCAAGAAAATTACAGCCATGAGCAYGCCTGTAATTGCAGCAGCTTGAGAGGCTGAGACAGGAAGATTATGAGTTCAAAGCCAACCTCAGCAAAAGTGAGATGCTAAGCAACTCAGTGAGACCCTGTCTCTAAATAAGATACAAAATAGGGCTGGGGGTGTGGCTCAGTGGTTGACCCCTGAGTTCAATCCCCAGTACCAAAAAAAAAAAAAAAAAATTAGGAGTGTGTTCAAGAGCACATTTTTGAGCAACTCTACCTGTTTTGCTCATTTTAAAAGTAAACTCTGCTTGGCACAGTGGCACACAGTTACAAACCCAGAGACTTGGGAGGCTAAGGCAGGAGAATCTCCAATTCAAGGCCAGATTCAGCAACTTAGTGAGACCTGTCTCAAATTAAAAAAATTAAAAGGGCTGGGGGTGTAGCTCAGTGGTAAAGCACCCTTGGTTGGGTTCAGTCCCCAGTACCTCCCCCTCCAAAAAAAAAAATAGGGTAAATAAATAAATTTGCTTCTTCATACTAGAAATATTCTTAAATTGAATAATGGTTTCCAAACTCAGATTGCATTGGATTGGGTTTTTAAACATTCTTATTTGTGTTGAAGCAGAACTGAGTGCACCATACAAATAAGGGGGAGTACTGATGCACATGCTTGTGAGCATGCATGGGGCAGTAAAGTATCCATCATTGAGGGGTGGTGGTCAGAGATTTTAATGCCTRTGGTAACAGAACTGGAAATACACCAGGGGTCCCTTTAGAGCAAAGATAGTTGTGGGAAGAACTTGCCATGATGAAAATGGATATCAGAAAATGATGCTACCACCTAGAGCACAGAAAAGAGCATAAAAAGCTTCTGACTTCTTTCCTCAGCTACATCATGGAGAAAGTAGACCTCGTCATAGTCGGCGCTGAAGGAGTCGTTGAAAACGGAGGGATTATTAACAAGGTAGGAGCAAGGGTTCTCCCAGTTCCTGCTCCAGACAAGGGGCTATTASTGACAGAATGCCAGAGAGCTTTATGTGTCCTGTTCGTTCTACTCCAAATCTTAGCCTCAGGACTTCAGCAAGGTATCAAGTTGTCACTCCAATTTGGTTCAGATTTCCTTCCTTCCGTGCTCAGTGGTGCACACCTGTAATCAATCCTAGTGGTTTTGGAGGCTGAGGCAGGAGTGTGATCATGAATTCAAAACCAGCCTCAGCAAAATTGAGGCACTAAGCAACTCAGTGAGACCGTCTCTAAATAAAATCCAAAATAGGGCTGGGGATATGGCTCAGTGGTTAAGTGCCCTTGAATACCCAGTACCCCACCACCACCGCCAAAAAAAGAAAATGTAGCTACAAAAATTAAATCTGTAATATGTATTCACACATCTAACTGGAACATGCAGTTTTTGTTTTTGTTTTATTTAATCAAGCATGTTTGTGACCTCAGTATATTTCATTAGTTTCTCTATGTGTTGCTTAACTTGGAAAAGTTTCATATATATATWTTTTTCCTCAATACAGGGGATTGAACCCAGGGACACTCTACCACTGACCTACATTCTTAGTCATTATTATCATTATTATTGTCATTATTTATTATTTTAAATTTTGAGACAGGATCTTGCTAAAGTTACCAGGCTGGATTCAAACTTGGGAACCTTCTGCTTCAGTCTCYGGAGTCACCACCATGCCTGGCTGAAATAATTTTTTAAATTGTAGTTAAGATATATACATAGCTAGGCGTACGGTGCATGCCTATAAATCCCAGCAGCTTAAGGCAGGAGGATCTCAAGTTCAAAGCCAGTCTCAGCAAAAGTGAGGCACTAAGCAACTGAGACCCTGTCTCTAAATAAAATACAAAATAGGGCTGGGGATGGGGCTCAGTGGTTGAGTCCCCCTGAATTTAATCCCTGGTTATCTGCCCCACCCCTGCCAAAAAAAATACATAAACCAAAAAAAAAACTTGGTGGGGGGGGTGCCAGGGATTGAACCCAGGAGTACTTCATCTCTATGCTACATCCCAGCCCTTACAGTTCAGTGGCATTAAGTACATTCACATATTTTTAAATACAGTCACCATTGTCTGCTCGGAAAATTTACATTCTTCCCAAACAGAATCTGTACCCACTGAGCACCAACTTCCTGTCCCCTCCCCTCATCCCTGGCCATCTATACCTTACTATCGCTGTGATCTCTGACTCATTTCACTCAGTGTGACAGTTTTCAAGGTTCACCCACACCCTAGCATGTATCAGAATCTCATTCCTTCCTGTTTGGTACCAGGAATTYAACCCAGGGGCACTTAACCCTGTGCCACATCCCAGTCCCCTTTATTTTGAGACAGAGTCTTGCTAAGTTGCTGGTGCTAGTCTTGAACTTGAGATCCTCCTGCCCCAGCCTCCTGAGTCACTGGGATTATAGATGAAAGCCACCATACCTGGCTATCTACTCATTTTTACCCCCACACAAATATGGACTACTTCACAAATTTATATCTCATCCTTACTCAGGGGTTCCTCTTTTAGTATATGTGCTGCCAAAGCAAGCACAATCTACTGTTTTCATGATGGACACGAGGCTATGAGCACCATTGGCTGGTGTGAATAGTGTTGCTTGTGGATATCTGTGAACAGGTAAGAGTCACAAAATGGTATCGCATTGTGGTTTTCATTTGTATTTCCCTCCCCAATAACTGATGATGTTGAGCATCTTGCACTCACTTAAGGATCATTTGCATATCTTTGGAAAAACACTGTTTTTCTAAAAGGTCCTCTGATTCCAAAGTGAGATTTACATGTTCGTTTATACACTTTCCATTGCTCCCAAGTTCCAAGTGTGCTCAGAGCTCATCCTCTGCTTTCTAACCCCCAGATTGGGAGCCACCAGATGGCCGTGTGTGCCAAGGCACAGAACAAGCCCTTCTATGTGGTTGCAGAAAGCTTCAAGTTTGTGCGGCTCTTCCCACTAAACCAGCAAGACGTYCCAGATAAATTTAAGGCAAGATTTTCCTGTCTAAAGGGGTCCTTGAGTCTAATCTGAAACCTTTAAAAAAACTGCAGTGCTAAGAATATTCCAGAAAGTCATCTCATTACTATTTTTGCCAATACTTTCGATAAAAAGATCAACTGGTGGTTACTGAACTTGAATGCGTCCCTTCCCCAGAACTCACACTCCAGTCCAATTCCCTCAGGCAGCCCTCTGTAGAGAGGCACTGGCTAATCCCAGCTGTGGGATGCACTGTCCAGGCTCAGCTCATACCTCCACCCTTTACGAACCATGCACCTTGACCAAGTCCTTCTGCTGAGCCTCAGTTCCTTCTGTAGAGTGGGATGGCACTACCTGACAGAGGAAGCCTTCGGCAGGGCTGGCTCCAGGCCCCTCTTCATAGTTACTCTAACTAGCTGCCGTGGGAGGTCTGGAGAAGGGAGTCTAGCAGTTGTGAGGGTCCCATGGTTTATTTGTCTTGTTAGGCTTTATCCTTAGCTGGTAGGCCACTATGGTGTGGCTCACAGCAGGGGTCTGCCCTCCCATGGCCAGAGCAGCCTCAGGACCAGCACACTGCACACGCCAAGGCCTCAGCAGCAGAGATCACTGGCTGTGCCATGCAGACTAACACAGGTTCTTCTCTCCTCAGTACAAGGCAGATACTCTGAAGTCTGCACAGACTGGACAGGACCTGAGAGAGGAGCACCCATGGGTGGACTACACCTCCCCTTCGTTAATCACCCTGCTATTCACAGACCTGGGCGTGCTCACACCCTCAGCAGTCAGTGACGAACTCATCAAGCTCTATCTATAACCACCGGTCTTCCCGGTGTCCAGTGTACCTGCCTGGGGCAGGGTGGGCAGCCTCTCAACCCCTGTGAGCCAAGCCAAAAGGAATCATTCTATGGAAGACCCGTGGACTGTGGATTTAAATTACATGTCTTGGAGGATCTTTTTTACTCATGTGTTCTTGGTTCTGAAACCAAACCTAAATGAGCACCAAACCTAAATGAGCATACAGTTTCTAGAGACCTTCATTGTCCAGAAATAGCTACGTTATTGGCTGCTTCCCTGAGGGAAAACCAAGCCCACCACCCTTTCTCCTGTGCTGCTCCACACTAATTTGCCAAAAGCATCTAAGAAAGGCAGGCTGAGAAGCAGTGCCACAGCCAGACCCCTATGGTAAGGGACAGCAGCTGGCAGGACATGCACCACATGTGGAGCTCATGAGAAAGGCAAGGGACACTTGCTGGCTTGCATCTGCTCCATCCCCCCTGGACAGGACCTAGCCAGTAAGTAAATACTGAAGTTACATCACAAGGCAGGCAGGAGCAGCATTTAGCAGGTATCATAAAGATACCTTCCTGCTGGAGTATTTGTAAACTTAGATTCTGAATCTGTAAAAGGTGAATTTCCTGTGAATGTGTTTGGTCCTAAACAGCTTTTTAAAAATATATTTGGGAACAAGTTCAGCATTTTCAAATAAATTATGTGAAAGATTTTGATATAGTATTGCCTCAATACTGCAAGCTGACCTCAGGCTCCACACATTGGCAACAGCAAGTGAGAGGCCATCAGCCATAGCCATACAGGAAGGCACTAGACAAGGATATACTCTTTATCCAATAGAACGAAAAACCATGTAATAATTCATTCCCAGAATATGAAGTGTTTCCTGGTCTTCAGATATTCACTAATAAAGTAGCCCTGAGAATATTAAAAAAGAAACCTCAGTACATTCACCACCTCTGCAGGTGCTCAGTGCAGGGCAAAGGATAAGAAGTCTAGGGGCCACGGGCACACAGAAAGGTCACTGCCTGGACGTACTGAGGAACTTTAAAAATACTTTAAAGATATCAAGGTGTACTTGACTTTATTTAGGTTTTTTAAAGTTCCTAAGTACACCTCGGTATCTGTTAAAAAAAAAAAAAAACTTACAAAAATAACCTTGGGGGAAAAAACGCTCTTTAGCTACAGTTAGCTACAGGTGACTCACCAAAACACTGACATCTATTATTTACACTCAGATTTTCTTCAAGACTAGTGTGCTCTGAGAGAAGTATTCCCAAGTGAGAAATCCCCTCATTGCTTCCCAGCGTGAAAGAATAGCTTCCAGGATGGACTCTTTTCAGTGTCCCCTGAGTGAGGGGCCACTTGTGCCCACCTGTGCTTCACCTAAGGCATTGGAATCAGCAGTCATCGTCCAAATCTGAYATCTCCAAATCTGCTGTTGTGGCTCTTCTTTTGCCACTTGTCAACAACCCCTTCTCAAGTTGTTCTTCAGTAATTTTGCCTTTCTTAAACTTTTTCAAGAGCCTTGTGTCATTAAGAAGTTCCTCCATATCCTCGTCTTCGATATCAGAACCCTAAATGCAAACAAGAAACCAACAAACTGAATTCCTCAGCAACAGTGTAGTGAAACCAGCAGGCTTTTTTTTGGGGGGGGGGGCAATGGGCAGGGGAGAGGCAGCACCGGAGATTGAATTTAGGAGCACTCTATTGCTGGCCTCTAAGTTGTAATCCTTGCAAATCTCCTGCCTCAGCCTCCCAGGTTGCTAAGATCAAAAGCACACCCAGCAGTTTTTACTGCGCAACACTGTGCTCTCACATCAGCTCCCATAAACACAACTTCCCACCCTGCTGATCAACACAGTATAGAAATGTGACAGCCTCAGACAACTCCTATGTTCTATTGTATTCAAACGTTCTATTRTTATATTTGCTCAGAATTTTTAAATCTAATCAGTAAAAACTGTAAGCTTTACCTCTTCCCTTTTCCTTTTWTCATTCATCTTTTTCTTCCTTTCCTTTTTGGCCTTCTGCTTCGACCAAGCTTTRTTTTTCATGAATTTTCTTCTCCCTTCATTTTCCATTTTCTCTTTTCTTTGTTCCTCTAATAGTTTCTGCCTCTGCTTTTCTCTAGCTTTATCTTTAAATGGAATCGTGTCTGTATTAATGTCCACAGGCACAAAATCTGGAAATTGCTTTCCTCTCAGTTCTGGCATCTTGGGCATCCTCAGCAGGGCGAAACCTCGAGCAAGACTAGCAAAATCAAGATCTAATTAAATCAAAACACCAGCGTTAGCACACCAGAACATGGTCACCAGAACCATCAAGGAAGATTCCTCACAACAGTTTTTCCAACCAAAGCACTTAATAGATTCATGTGAATTAGAGTCACAGTAAATGCTGTTTAACAAAGTAAAGAGAAATACTGAGCACCTAGTACTCAGTTGAGAAGTATCTGGTGAAGCCTAGGAAGTACTCCATTTTAAACAATTGGAAAACACTAATGTACCCCATACATTGTAACAGACAAAGCAATTTCATGTGTGTAAAACCATCAAAACAGAAACACAATTATGTGAAGCAAAGATCCAACCTACCCTTCAATCTGAAGATGAGGCTGCACTCATGCTTTGCATAGGCCTGGACACAGGACACAAAGGCTTTCATGCCCTTTTCAAACACCGCTCTGTCGGCCAGGGCCAGGGCCCTGAGCTTGGGCAGCAGGTCCACTGTRTTCTTCTGAAGTTTCATCTCCTGCAGGGGGCACTGCACAGAGACCAGTCTCACTTCCCTGGCTTACGCCACCTCAACTCCAGGGGACCCCCTCTGAACCAGTCCAAGAATACCAACAGCAGAATAATCCATTTTAATCTGAAAGCCTGAAGTCTGAATCCAGCCCAAATATTTTCCTTGGTCTATAAAGTATTTTACATTTTCAAAAGAAAATTTGAAAATAAATTTCGCATGATTCTGCTGTGACAGGAAAGTACAGCAACACTAGCTCTGTGTCCCCAAGTCATGGCCTTGGCCTGGACACAGCAGTGGCCAAGGTGAGGCCAAGGCCCCACAGCCTCAATGCCTGCCAGGCTCCAAGGTGGGCACCCTACCCATCCCTCATCTATTCCTSTGACCATATGTGGGACAAGAACTGTTGTAGCCACCCCGTCACTGGGTGYTCTATACGAAAAGAGAAGACGGCTTACTTTTTGGTTAATTGCCAGGAAATTGACGTACGACTCTTCCATGGGCAGGAGAAACACCAGGGCGCTGCCCCCATGGCCAATGCGGGCTGTGCGGCCACAGCGATGGACAAAGGCACTGTGAGGACAAAGGTGGGAGCTGAGTGGCGGTGAGCAGACCCAGGCCCCAGCCACACACTGACACATCTGCACTGTGCGGGGACAGCCGGACCCTATTGTCCAGGAAGAGAAAGGGGAGAACAGCTATCACACCAACACCACCAGGAGTGCGGCGAGACGCCCAGGGTGAACTCCAGCACAACTCGAGTTAAACGTGTGCCTTTCTCTAGGATCATACAGGGAGCAGACTCAGAAAATTTGGGAAGCAATGAAAATTATAAAGAATAAAACAAATTATCTATAATCCTTATCATCACTTAGGAACTTAGTTAYGAATTTTTTTATATATGGGAAAAATAATTGCAATTTCCACATATGGTACTTTGAATTGCTTTTCTTTCCCCCCTTAAAACAGCCTATCATGTACTTAGAAAAAAGCACACCAAAGGTTATTCACCCACTAATCTATWTTTTGCTATTTAAAATAATGTTTTGAACAAGATTGTGTTCACTTCCCCCACATTCCTGGTCATTAAGTTCAATTCCTCATCAGAACGGTCACACTGCATCGGAGTACCTGGCGTTGCTGGGAGGGTCATACTGCAAAACCCAGTTCACTTCAGGAATGTCGATCCCCCGCGCCATCACGTCAGTGCACACCAAAATGCCACTACAACGGGAGAAAAGAGCATTCTGAGTAAGGATGTCTCCATCTCTATCACCAATAGCAGAATAATCCATTGAGGTCTGCCAACCACAATAACAGCAACACAGAGGTTCTGGAGGTTCCACAGAAGCAAAGATGTTTTCCCCCCAGTATTGGGACTGAATGCAAGGGCACTCTACTAATGAGCTATATCCCTAGCCCTTTTTATTTTGCCCAGGCTGGCCAGGCACAGTGGCACATGCCTGTAATCCCAGTGACCAAATTAAAATAAGCAAATACTTCTTGATGGTAATATTTCATTTTTTTCTTGCTCCTAAGAATCTCCAGAACTTGACGAATTCCCAAGAAAATGGGGATTAGGAAACATAGCAATTTTTTTTAATTAGTGTATTTCCATTGAAAAATAAAACTGGWGGGCTAACCCTTGGCAGCCAATTCAAGAAACAAGTGATATTTTTACTCCATTTTGAAGCCAAGTCCTTGTCCAGCAGCTGCAGAGCAGAGGCAGGGTGGACTGGAATGGGGCTGGAAGCATGAGCAGTGGCCCAGTCTGGACCTGGTGCAGATACCCACTGCACACAGCTCCAGAGCCCAGAACCCTCCGGGTACTCACAATCCCACGACCTCAACGTCCTGTTTCTCGACTAGTGGTGGGAAAACAAAGGTGGGGCAAAGCCAAATGGAGACTGCAGAGCTAACCAACAGCACTGGCACCTTTCCAAACCCTCATCGGCATAATCATGGGCTAAGAGCTTGGCCCAATGGCTACATAAACCCCCAGAGCAGCCCACTCAGGCAGCAACCTGCTAGCAGGTCCCTCTGACCCTGCCAGAGTTGTTTCTATTCTTGAATAAATCCTGCTCCTTTCACTTTCCCCTTCCACTGTCTGTCAATTTCTGCCTTTAGATATCCAGAAAGAATCTGGCAGTGAGCTGCTGGGGTCTACTGCAACCCTGGAGGGCAGAGCCCACTATAAGAGGTGCAACACATTTACGCTGACCCCACATGCCAGCAGAAGTAGAGAAACACCAGTTTCAACCTTGCCCTTAAGACTACTTTAAGGAAGCTGTGCAGTGCTTAAGAAAAACRGAAACAAGCTATGCTCATCAGGAAAGCATGAGCTCCCTGCTGTATGGCCATCATGTTGACAACCTACAGGCAGCTTCTGTCCCAACAAGCCTACTCTGCCCTGCTCTGCCATATTCACCCAGTAGACGAACAGTTGTCAAAATTTCTCTGAGCCAGGCACCAGCAAATTCAGGAACAAACATGAAATACAAGGGTACAAGCAGGCAGGGAAATTCAACGACTAAACCAAGGACCCCAGTGAAGTACACAGGGAATTAGGGCAGGAATGGGGCGCCGGGTATTTCTATGGAGATACTGTAAGTGGGTATGAGATGGAAGAGGGCTCCAGGCAGGGAAAGTTTCTGAGGTAAAGAGAGAAAAAGTGAGAGTGGGACCTTAAAAAGGTATAGTGGTTGGAGACCTAATACTGCCAATGAAGCCATCCCACCCCTGCAACTTGCGGAACTCCATGAAGATCTTGTTGCGCTTGTGTTTCATCTTTCCATGAATGCACATTATCTTCACRTTCTTCACAAGGGCCTCCAGAGCCTTTCCATAGTATTCCACACAGGCGCAGGTGCTATGAGGGGGAAAAGAGGGCTTAGGGCCACGCCCCTCTTGGTCCTCCTAAAATGGGGACGGGAGTGGTGAGCAACAGGCACGAGGGGAAGACTGGTGGCACGCCCTCTTTGGGAGGATGGATGGAGGACTAGCACCCACCACTGAGCTCCAGAGTGGAAATCCCCTGTCAATGAAAAGCATTAGACACGAGCCAAAACTCTGAGGGTCTTGCCCACTGTCAAAGATATTCAACCAAAGGGGTCCCCCAGTCCCTGAAAGAGGCTTAACTGAATGAAGTACCCATCCAGGACAAAAACAAAGACAGAAGACATAAATAGGCAAGATTCAAAATGCTCTTATTCTTGGAGAACTTCTCCTTCCTCAATAAGCCAAGTTTGATCAAACAGATYCTCCCTCCCAGATAGTCTCCACTTGGGGTTGAATCAGCTGAGGAATGTTCTGGGATAACAGGACAAAACCCACCATGACAGACGGGTACCTGCCCAAGCCATTCCCAACCACTTCTTTCCTCACCTGCCTCTACTATAAAGCCAAAGTCAGCCAGGGCAGAGGAGTTTCTGAGAAAGCTTTCTGCTTATCTGATAGAAAAGTTMTATCTGATATAACCAACGTTGCCACTCCACCCCATATTTCCCCCGTACCTGCCTTCAGTGCAGACACAACAGGGATTAYAGAAGCTACAGGTGATATTCAGGAGGGAAAGGCCAAGACAATCACAGACTCACTAACCCTGACACTGCYGAGACATTTAAAAGTCAAACTGCCCATCTGTGCACCTGCTTCTACAGAAAAACAACCCACCCATTAGAGCCTCAGAAGTTGGGCTTTCAATTATTTCAGCCTAGCACACCCCGAGAACAGAATTCATCCTAGACAGAATTCAGAACCCAAGGGTCACCTATACCTGCATATTTTAGGTGCAGCTGAATCCCTCTCAACTAGAACCCGAAGGGTTACCTGAAGAAGACCAGATGTTTCTCCTGTTTATGATTTCGAAGAAAATGCACCAACTGATTAAATTTCTCATCTGCCTTACACACCTGTAAAATACAAGGAAAAATAAAAACCTATTTTAAAAAGAAAATATACATACATATATATATATGTATATATATATGTACATATATATATATATATATGTACATATATATATATATTTTGGCAGTACTGAGATGGAACCCAGAAGGCACTCTATCACTGAACTACTTCCCCAGCCCTTTTATTTATTATTTATTTTTGGTGCCAAGGATTCAACCCAGGGGCACTTAACCACRGAGCCACATTTCCAGCACATTTTTATATTTTATTAGAGACAGGGTCTTGCTGAATTGCTTAAGGCCTTTCTAAGTTGTTGAGGCTGGATTTGAACTTGCAATCCTCTGGCCTTAGCATCCGGAGTTGCTGGGATTATGGGTGTGCGACACTGCGCCCAGCTATCTTTTATTTGGGATAGGGTCTTACTAAGTTGCCCAGACTAGCCTTGGAGTTGTCCTCCAGAATACCTGCCTTAAGTTTTAAGGGTTACAATTTCCTCCARAATCAGAGACTGAAGTCAGAAGATTAATCAGTCTACCTAGCTCAGAAATGTAAACATGTGCTGCTGCTATAAACATCTTTTTTGGTGCTGGGGAACTGAACCCAGGGGCACCTAACCACTAAACCACATTCCCAGCCCCTCCCTCCTTCTTTCTTTCTTGAGACAGGTCTCATTAAGTTGCTTAGGGCCTCACTAAGTTGCAGAGGCTGGCTTTGAACTTGCAATCCTCTTGCCTCAGCCTCCTGAGCCACTGGGATTACAGGTGCATGCCATCACACCCAGCTATAAACATCATTTTTAAGTCACAAAATCATAAAACTGAGAGAAATGTTGTTGGGCAGGCCTATAATGACTATAGTTAGGCTCCCTTACCTAGGCTTCTTGCAAGCTATGCTATGCTTTAGTATGCAGCCAGGGCTGGGAACTGGCTATGTTAGGGTTTCAAGGCCAGAAACATGCTGGGCATATAGACTCAAGGTCATAAACATGAACTTGTGAGCACGTGCCCCCTTATGTAACCTATTGGCTGTGTGCCTTCTCTGTTTGGCTTGCTTATACAAAGGGCCTATGAAAAAGACTCAGGGCTAAATGGGGCAAATAAAGGGCAACAAAAGGGAACTGGCTGGGGGCTGAAGCTGAAGCTGGAGGCTGTGGCCACCTCTGAATACGACACATCTTCTATCCTAACTGCATCTTGCATCTTCTTCCACCTGTTGAATCCCACACTTCATTTCCTGGGTCTGAGCTCCGCACAACAAACGTCATCTAACACAACTGTTCCCAAATTCCAACAAATGGACAGGGAGCATGCTGGCTTCCACACCAACTCTCAGAGACACCATTAACACGATTCTGGGGCAACAAGCACATTCTGCCTCAGGAGGTCTGGAATGGACCAGTAAGACACACTACCCACAAGCTCCCTGGGGTCAGAGGCCAGATATAGAAGTCACTGCTCTCAGCTGGACACAGCTTTCCAGAAAGCAACGTGCATGATTACTGGAAGGACTTCCATGCAGACAGACCCCACAGTCTCTCCTAACAACCAGCCAGATGTTCTATCCAAGCCCCTCACTGGAGACATTAAATTGACAGGAACACATCTCCCTGATTTTCAGAAAAACTTAAAATTTCAGTTTGGACGCTCCTCTCATGCACCTGGACATCTCTAACTACCATCTAATAAATGCAAAGAAGTAGAAAGCAACAGTGCATACAGTGGGTATTCACAGCCACAACACTAGTATTTACTATGTCCTAAGCAATCCAAAACCCCTCTTTGTGAATGAATCAATCCTCAACAGCCCAGCAATGGGGACTCCCAAAGCCCCCATACATGTGATGACCTGATAAGTACACTCAAGGACTTAGTGAGGGACGAAGGTGTGACCAGCACCAGGGCAGCCTACTCTAGTACCAGGTTCCACATACTGCATCCTGTACTGAGTCCTTCCCTCCCCATGAAGAGCCAGCATTCCACCTCAACCAGCCTTGACAGAAACACAGCAGCAGGACCACCCGCCTCAGAGAAGCCTGTCTAACTTCAGCAGTACTCCAGGCAGTGGCGCCCTGGGCAGTGCCTGATGTGCAAGCTCCTTCTACAGGTCATCTGTCATCTGCCCACGGGTCAACCAGCCAGGACGACCACACCCACCTACCCCTCCACAGCAACTGGAACCCTTTGGTTTTGAAACCAACCCTTCTTTGAACAGCAACTGTGATTAGTGCCAAAGTGTTCTTCTGGGCCTAAAAGAAAAGTCTCGTCTCCAGGTGGACGGTCTGATGTACCCCATAAGCAGAGACATGGTCCTKTGGGTCCTCCAGCTCCCAGTGCTACTTCCCTGGCTGCCAGTGCTTTCAGAGCCCCTGTGGCCCATCCCAGAAATGGGAGAGAACAGAACCTGAGAGGGCCCAGGTGGCCACAGTACTGAATAATCCAGGTTCCCAAAGTCTGTCCACTGCCTTGCAGAGATAGCCCAGAAAACAACAACTAGGACTGACACCTACAAATCTAGCCGAAATCAGATGCAGGTCAGAAATGCGGAACCTTCAGGCTTGGAACAGAACATTTAGGTAACAAACCTCCTGTAGCCTGTCACCTGATTTTCTGTTTTGCCAGCACACCCAGCTGTGCCCTTTCACAACACAGGCTTATGCTACTAGCCCGGAGCTACAGTGCTGAACCATGAGTTCTCGGCACATCCCAGACCAATGTGATAAAAACAGCTGGTACTTGGGGAGGGAAGTTCAGAGGCACTGTCGTTGGGATTCCATGCTTAAAATATACTTATGCCCAAGTTAACTTACTCACTCATTCAACAAGTAGGACCACCTGTCATTCAGACCACTGGTTCTAGTTCTGTCTCCAAATGCATTTTAAGTGTGCCACAGGGTCTTTTTCTTTTTTTGGGAGGGGTGATTGGGTACTGGAGATTGAACCCAGGGGTACTCTACCCCTGAGCCACATCCCAAGTGCTTTTTTTTTTTTTTTTTTTAATTTTAAGACAGCATCTCACTAAGTTGCTAAGTCTGGCCTCCAACTAGTGATACTCCTGCCTTAGCCTCCTGATTTCACTGAATTACAAGCCTGAGTCACTGCACCTGGTTCCCAGAGTCTCATTTTACACATTTACTTTCCCTGTGACCCTCAAGCACATTCCTAGAACACCACCATCATTCTGAATCCCAGGCTGGAGAAGACAAGCCAGTGCTCACCATGTAGTAGTTCTCCAGGCGGGAGGGGGTCTTCTGGGTGCTGCTGGCMGCCACACCCTTCTCCTTCACTGAGATGCGGACAGGGTTCCGGAGGCCTGCTCTCACCAAGTTCTCCACTTCCTGTGTCTGTGTGGCAGAGAAAAGGCCCGTCCTCCTCTGCTTTGGCAAAAACTCCAGAATGGTGTTTATGCTGAAAAAAAAAAAAAAGAGAGAGAGATCCTACAGTTACTCCATCACTAAGCAGCAGTGAACAGATTGGAAAAGGGGCCGGGGCTGTGGCTCAGTGCTAGAGCACTTGCCTAGCATGTGTGAGGCACTGGGTTCGATCCTCAGCACCACATACAAACAAAATAAAAGTATTGTGTCTACTTACAACTAAAAAATATATATATAATATATACACATATATATATAAAATATACACACACACACATATATATATATATATATATAAATTAAAAATAAAAATATAAAAAGATTGGACAAGAAGCCATCCAAATATCTACAACTGATATTACTGAAATCTGAGATTATGAGTGATGTTTATTTATACTTTGTGGGAGCCAACCTTGCACATGACTGAGTTAACTCCCCTGCTGGGCGATGTGGTGTCAGGCACCCATGCTGCTAGACTGCCCCGCTCTTCTMGGGTTCGAGTGACTGTCTTTGTGCCTGGGCATGGCTTCCTACAGCCCCAGGGGGAGCTATGCTCACCTGTTCCATTATAATATAACCCGTTGCCCTGTTTAGGATAGAATGTTCCATGGAAGTGCCTTGTGTGTGTCCCCTTCTCTTACTGTGCCCTTGGGTGTGGCCTACCTAGATATCAGTCAACCTGCTGACAGCAGACATCATGAAGCTGGACTCAGCCCCCTGAAACCTGACCTCTTACCTCATTTGAATAGCTTCTCCTCAATAAAAGAGGTCAGCGTGTGCTCTCTCTCTCTTCCTGCAGACCCTTAAGGTCAGAGGAGCCATCACAGCAACTCCAAAGAAAAAGGTATTTGTGTGTCGTTTGGTTATTTTGTGCAGCCCAGTCAGCCCAGTTTTCCTGGAGTGACCCCTGAGCCTTTTAGTAGCGAACAGAAACCCAGCAATACTTTCATTTTTCCAAGGCTTCTCAATGTAATCATAAATGACACTTTTATACTTGGATGCCAACTAATAATGTGAAATTAGGACAAAATTTTTGAACCTAACACTGTACCGTGGACTTTATATAGGTGAACTGTATGCTATGTGAATTATGTTCCCTAAAAAATCTGAGTTTCCTTGCTGGTTTGGTTTTGGTGCTGAGGATTGAACATGGTGGCTCTCTACCACTGAGCTATACCCGTAGCCCTTTAAACTTTCTATTTTGAGACAGGGTCTCACTGAGTTGCCCAAGCTGGCCTCAAATTTGCAATCTTCCTGCCTCAGCCTCCAGAGTCACTGGGATTACAGGCATGTGCTCCTCACCAGCCAAAGTCTGTTTATTAAACAAAAACCTAAGAAAATCATGGGGGAAATGCATTTTAAGATCAAAGATAAAAGAAATGAAATTAAATTGAGTGACAGAATCTGAAGGATAACCCACCTCATAATTTGAAACACCAGTGAAGCTAGTAAACAAACAGTCATGAAGTGATGAAGGTGTTTCATTTGGCTCTCCTCTTTCAGTTATCACCCACACCCCCAAAGTCAAAGAAGTCCAAAATGGGGTACCTTGCTTCAAATCCCATATCCAGAAGTCTGTCTGCCTCATCCAGCACCAGGACATCCAGGGACTTCACACAGCTGACGAGGTCCAAGCCCTCACTCTTYCTCCGGAACATGTCCTCCAGGCGGCCTGGAGTCGCCACTACGATATTTCCCCTTGGAAAGAAAGTCAGTATTTACCACACACTCTGGCCCTTGGAAATATCAGAGATGGTTCCCAAAATACCAACTTCCACATCGCCAAAGTCACATAACCTCCATTAAGAAAAGTGGCCAGGGAAAGAACAGCAAGAACTCCCCGGCTGTGTGGTATGTCACTGGTGTACAACCACAACCGCATCACTTGCCACCATCTGTCCTGCTCTCACACCAAAACAGCAGTTGAGCCACCGTCAAATACTGAAGGTCCACATGTCCCAGAGAGAAAGGGTTTGCTGGTGTCTGACCTCACCAAGTGAGGGAGCATGCAAAGCCCCACRAACTCAACTGTTTTTTTTTTTTTAATATTTTATGGACACAGTATCTTTATTTATTAATTTTTATGTGGTGCTGAGGATCGAACCCAGTGCCTCACATGTGCGAGACAAACGCTCTACCACTGAGCTACAGCCCCAGTCCCTATGAACTCAACTGTTAAGAGAATCTGACTGGGCCAGCCGAGGCCCCAGAATGACTGACCTCCAAGAAGTCTCTTCCACAATGTGGATTATATGCCAACAAAGGTAAAGAACCAGGGGAACACACACATCTGGAATTCCATCTTAAGAAACCCAAAACTGGCACTGCTGGGCCCAGAGTCCTTCAGACCACAATCAGCTGAGTCTGGGTATGGCCCAGGCCAACCAGGTGGCTGACATCCTCCCTAACCTGAGGAGCCTGCCTRCAGAAGCACCTCTGGACTCTCCATCAGGCCTCAGCCATGCAGATGCCTCCRGGGCAGTGCCAAGAGCAACGGAAAGGAGCAGAAGCAGCAAGCTCACCCTTGTCGCCTGAACCTCTCGACATCTTCTCCAGGGTTCCTGCCTCCAATCCAAAGAATCTGGCTGAAAAAGGAAATAGGTCTTTGAGCAATTCAAGCAAAACAACAGTCTGTGGTGACAGGGACACTGCATCCAATTTACCTGAACTGTGGGAAGTGCTTCGTGAAATGCGACAGGACCTCATCRATTTGAATGGCCAGCTCTCGAGTTGGGGTGATGATTATGGCTCCCACCTACCCATGTGGAGGGGAGGAGCATGGTTAGCATTACCCAGGGCCCCAGAGCACCCACTATTCAAGGGGACAATTCTCAGGGGAACAGCACATCCTGGACTCCCAGCAGCCTCAGACAATTCTCAGGGGAACAGCACATCCTGGACTCCCAGCAGCCTCAGACCATGGCATGTCCACTGTTCTGAATCACAGTTATTTGTCATTACCGTGAGCATTGAACTACTGCTTCTAGGGGAACGTAGTCAGGGTCTTGCCAAGCTCTGGGCACATTTTCACCAACCAAACCAATGCGCAACCTCACTGTATACAGACTTCTGTTTAAAAACACCGTATTAAATAAATATCGCTGACTTACTCACACTGAACTCACGGCTCTACAACTCATCTACCACAGACCTCTGCATGTCACRGCCTCCTTACACTCAGAACACTCATGGCACCACAGCACTACACTACAGGCAATTAAACAGCAAAATCACCCCAAAAAAGCACAAAAATGTGCAAACATGTGATACTAAACAGACCACAAAAATAATACTTCTCCACAGCATGACAGCTGAAATTCAAAGAATTTCTATGAATGACCATGAAAGCACCCAAGCATCAATTTTGGGGTCATAYGTTTTAACAAGTAGACAAATTCAAAACAACAATGGGATAATGAGGGTCAGCTACCTTTAATCTTCTCAAGCTTCTGACCAGCTTCTTATTCAGCTGTAATAATTATTCAGTCTGGTAACCAAGTGGCAATAAATCCCGTTAGCTCTCCTCACCTGACTCTTTTTTAACTTCTCTTCCCTTCTCAGAAGAATTTCCAGGATGGGGATGACAAAGGCCAGTGTTTTGCCACTACCTGTGACCTGCAAAGGACGACAAGCTTTGTGCTGCTTTTCCACACAGTGCACTTGAAGAGAACCACGAGGACAGGCTCTATCTGCAGGAGGAACTTACCGCTTCTGCAGCAACGTCTTTATTTCTCATGAACAGAGGGATGGTTGCAGACTGAGGAGAGAGATTGCAAAGTATAGTTAAAGAATGCCGTGAACTTGCTGGTGAGGCCCTGGGAGCACACTAGGGGGCTAAGGTTGCAGTGGACCCTGGAGGGCTTAACTCAAACGGGGCAATGGTATCTGCATAGACATGTGATAGGAGTCCTGGATTCAAGCCCTCTTTTTTCCCTCCTTGGGCCAGAAAGGGGTTAAAAACTTTGCGTCTTCGGGCATCTCCCAGCTCTGGTGTCTGGGTTAGAACAGGGACTCAAATAAGCCCCCAGTTTAAATACCAGGACCTCCTCGAGTTTTACCAAAGGCTTGGCCCTGTAGCTTCAGCAACCAAAGCAGCTAAATCTGAAGCAGACTCCAAGTTTTGGTCCTARGGTCACCTCCTCCAGGACTCCACTCCTGGTCTCCAGAGCATGGGCTCAGCCCTACCACAACATGTGTCATACCATTCCAACTACTTCTACACAGGGCTTGTCAACCTGCAAAGTTTCTGTCCTCCCTCCCCCAAGGAACATTTAGCAATGCTGGCGACATTTTCAATTGTCAAAACCCAGGGTGAAGGTCTTGCTACTGGCATTTGGTAGGCAGATTCCAAGGATGTTAATATATCCTAGGATACCCCAGACAGCCCTCACAACAAAGCATTTTCCAGATCAAATGTCAGAAATATCAAGGCCGCAGAGCCTGCTCTAGACCACTGTCGTCCAATACAAATATAATAAGAACCACATACATGATTTTGAATTTCCTATTTCTACATTAGGTAAAAAGAAACAGGTGGAATAAATTTAAATAATTTACTTAACTATATATTCAACCATTGTCACTTCAATCTTTAGTCGTTACTACAAAATTAAAGCTATTTCCCATTCTTTTTTCGGATTAAGTCTGTTATTTCAACAGAGCACATCTCAGTTGGGACTAAGTGCTCAAAAGCCACTAGGGGGCTGAGGTTGTGGCTCAGTGGTAGAGCGCTTGCCTAGCATGTGTGAGGCACTGGTTCAATTCTGGCACCGCACATAAACAAAAAAATAAAGGTCCATTGACAACTAAAAAAAAAAAAAGCCACTAGGGCAGGAATGGACAACTCTAGGTGAGGAGTTCCAACGGGGACTGGGTCTTGTTTGTGCTACACTGCACAACATGGCACCCAGCTCTGCCTGCTCTGACATCCTTCCTGGTGGTTTTAGGCACAAATTCAACATTTTAAACAGAAACCTCTTGATTTTTCCCTCTGAACCTGTTAACCCCCAGCCCCAGCCTTCCTCATATTGGCAAATGGAACAACATCCACCCAGCTACAGAAACCTCAGAATCCTTCCAGAGTCTGCTCCTCCATAACCCCCACATTCAGCCCCTCAGCAATCTCAATGCCACTCTGAATTTTGACTTCTCCCTGTTCACTGCTTCCATTCTACTCCACGCCTCCTTTCCTCACAGTCAACGGCCTCCTGAGGGACTTCCCTGCTTCTTCATCCTCTACACAGCTTCCCAGACACGATGGCTTCTCACTGCATTTAGAATACAATCCCAGCAGCTGGGTGCTGTGGTGCACCCAAGTTTAAGGCCACACTGAACAACTTAATGAGAACCTGTTTTAAATTTAAAAAAATAAGTAAATAAAAAGGACTGAGGGGCTGGAGATGTGGCTCAGCGGTAGCGCGCTCGCCTGGCATGCGTGCGGCCCGGGTTCGATCCTCAGCACCACATACCAACAAAGATGTTGTGTCCGCCAAGAACTAAAAAATAAATATTAAAAAAAAAATTAAAAAAATAAAATAAAAAAAAATAAAAAGGACTGAGAGATGTAGCTCAGTGGTAAAGTGCCACTTAGTTTAAACCCCAGAACCAAAATAAATAAATAAATAAATAAAATTCAAGCCCCTGCTCTGCTCATCACGACTGGAACTACTCAGCATCAAATCTCTCTGTTGCTCAAAGCTCATTTCCAGCCAGCTCCGGAGCARTCGCACTGGCATTTCTCTCTGCTGCAATAAACTGCCCCCAAACACCTCCAGCCAGCCCCTTCTCAATCATTCAGCTCTCAGCTCATGACACCTCAAACAGGCGTTCTCTAACACCCTGTTCTTGTCCYTGCTCCTATCACAACAGTCTGTTAGAGTTCCTTCATAACACAGCAGCAGCTGAAATATCTCACCCCCCTTACTTCTTTCTCTAGCTCCTGCATTAAGAATAGGTACCAAAGCTGCAATATCCCCAGAGCCTAGAAAAATACCGGATACGCAGCAGGCCCTTAATAAATATTGCTTGAATAAAGAAAGACATTGTGCAGTACGGTGCACTTTTCCCACAGTAACAACAGGGAACCTTCAATGAGCTCCCATAATGGACCCATGCTGTCTTTATTTAGTACCCACAACCCTATAAGCCAGGTCATGTTACCTCCGTCATTCAGAGAAGGAAAATGAAGCAGAAAGGTGAAGTTATTGTCCGAGGTCTCACAGCTAGAGTGGAAGGGTCAGGATAGAAACCAGGTCCTAAGCCCCAGTAGCCCAGGGCGGAGGCCAAGACCACCGTGGCTGCCTGATCCACCGCTTCGCATCGCCGACACCGCCCGAGACGAGGCAAAAGCCGCGGCTCARGGCGGACAACCCAGCGCGAGCGGAGTGGCCCTAGCGGCTGGTCGGCTCGGGTGCCCGCCGCGMCGCCGGACTCCTCCCACCTGGCCCAGGACGGATACCTGCACGGGCGTCATGGACGGGAAGCCCAGCTCCTGCAGCGCACCCAGCACCCGCGGGTGCAGCGGCACAGGCAGGGACCCCCAGGAGCCCTCCGTCACGYGCTCCATAGCGCTCCGCAGCCCTCCCGCCAGGAACGCCCCCGTGCCGGCGAACACTTCCGCTTCCGGTGGCAGGCTCCGCCTCCGGAGCCGAGAGAGCGGGACCCAGCGCGTGGCCGGGTCCCAGCTTCGCCGCGCTCAGCGCACCGAGCGGGTTCCGCTGCGCCAGAGGCTCTGCGCGGCTCCCAGCTCCCTCCGCCAGCSGGAGGCAGGTGGCCGCACGACGCTGGGTGCAGCCGTGGCGGTGGCAGGGCGGGAGGCGGGCCCGACGCAGGTAGACTCCAGCCGGTTCGCCTAGAAGTGGTGGCCAGAGCCCTAATATGGAGCTCCGTCTCCCAGGGCCGGGCTCCCCGCCGCCTGCGTGGCTCATTGTCCTAGCTCACCTTCCTTCCGCGAGCTGGGCTCCGAGCACGAGTCCCCTCCTGCCCTCTTCCCTTGGGAACTCGTATTCTGATCACCGAAACCTCTACCCGGCTTTATTCTGCTCCGCAGTGTTCACCCTTAACGCACCATCCACGCACTCCGTTCGTTCACCTCCCGAGAGGTGAGGGTCTTCTACATCTCTTCCATCTGCCGTAGGCGGTCAGACCCGTGGGATAAACAAGCGACGCGCAGACTCCAGCCATCCCAAAGTAAGTTGAGATAAAAGCCTGGAGCAACGTTCTCACTGAAATGAGCAGAGACCCAAGACAACCCTAACAACCGGTTCAAACTTGGCCAGACAGCACTCACAGCAGGGCACAGRGTAATCGCAATGCACTGTTTTTGCCTTTTGCCCTCGTATCGTTTTCTGATCTTGGGACCTTTTCCAAGCCAATAATTTCCAAAATTATTTTACCCAMGGTAATGGCAGTTTTAAGACATAAATAGGACAGGCCATGTAAAGAAAGCACTTAGCACCAAGCCAGGACATTACATAGTACTTTATAAAGGAAGTTTCTAACGATAGAATCCTGATTCCACCTTCTATTTATATGGAGCTTTGGGCAAATCATCTATTCTTTCAAACCTATTTCCACATCCATAGTAACAATAATCATATTTTCCCCCCAAAATAGTACTTAATTTTGTTAATGATGAAAAGAAACTATACCATGTGGAAACTAAAGTGGTGCCTTTTGTTCATTATCCTCAAGATTATAAAAAACAACAGACGCTTACAGCAGCTGTAATTACTCATAAAACATGGACATGTCTCATACATAAAAGAAATTTGGTATTTGACAAATGTGAATTAACAACCATTAACATATAAAACACAGAATACTGTTTTTAAAAAGAATTGTTTATTTACTGAACCTGGGGCATATATTAGATACACAACCAATTTTAAATTTACATTTTTTAATTCAATTTTGAAGTGTTTTCACACACAMAAAAAGAAATTGGTATGCAACAGTTGTCCTAAGGTGAAACAGTCACCTTATCGATAAACTGTTGCAAGTATTTTCACCCAAGGCTGAAAAATTGTGTCCTGAACATGAAAACCTGTA